CCAGACGCTTTGTCAGGTTGGTTATTTCAGTCCAGTCCCAAAGAGAAACCCTGCACCAAACCCAGTGAGTCTGACTCTCTCTATTCTCTCTTTTATCTCAACCTCAGAATGCAGAGTTATCAGTTACTCAGCAACGGTCACATTAAACTGACTCTCTATGCTCTCAGCTCTGAACTATCAGTCTGGGTCACTGTGCTGCCAGTGTCCAGCTCCTCTTCAGTATCTTCACTCCGCCAAAATAAGTCCAAATCTAGGAATAGTTTTATATTTATTATGGAAGTGAATAGGTCTGGATTATTCTCTGGGTTATTCTGCTGCCATTCTCCAGCTCCTCTTCAGATATTTAACAACGATTCACACCATTGCTCTCTGTTCTGAAACAGGCTACTCTGTTGTCATTCACCATTTTAATTTAAACAAAATAGAGTTAATTTGAAATGTATTATAAAATCAGGTTCCCAGGTCTCCTGTATTTTAAATCTGATATGTAACAGTAAACCTGTCTCTGTGTGGTTCAGGAGAGCTGATGTCCTCTGTGAAAGAAGAGGCTCCAGAGTACTATGATGATACTGCAACTGTACCTCAGAGCCCAGATGCCTTCTCAGGTGAGTTATTTCAGTCCAGTCCTACAGAGAAACCCTGCACCAATCCCAGTGATTCAGGCTCCCTCTGTGCACTACACAGCTCATCACACTGAGTCTGGATTATTCTCTGGATTATTCTCTGGGTTATTCTGCTGCCCGTGTCCAGATGAAACTTTAGATGTTTCACAAAGGTTCACAGCATTGCTCTCTCTGTCCTGATTAAGGTGGCCCTGTTGTTATTCACCATCTCAATAACAATCTGAAATTAGTTTGAAATGCATTATAGAGTTAGGTTGCCAGATCTCTTTAATTTTAAATCTGATGTGTGACAGTGTGTGGTTCAGGAGAGCTGATGTCCTCTGTGACAGAAGAGGCTCCAGAGTACTATGATGATGCCATCACTGTACCCCAGAGCCCAGACACTGTGTCAGGTGAGTTATAATAAATAAGACTCATGAGTATGCCCTGTACCAGCCTGCACTAACCTCTGTCAGTAGAAAGTAGTTTCAACCTAATTTCACACCAGCAAACAAACACTAACTGGAAGAGAAGAGCTCTAAATGATCAATTCTTCCTAAAAGATACAATTTTATACGGAAAATTACTTACTTCAAGGCTTTTGACTACAATATTGTAACAACTATTCTGTTTAATCCAACCATTACTCCACTAACAGCCATTTGTATCATTGCAGATCATGTCATGCTTCTATCAATAAATGGTATATTGTTTATTTAGATTGGTTCATAAAATCAGCAAATACTCTTACAATGTACTGTTACAATCTCTGATTATTACGACGACTTAAAACGTTCATTCACTATACTATTGTGACTATGGAAGTGTTTTAAAAAATCTAGATACACCTGGCTATTATCAACATTTCCAATTCTCAGGGCCTTCAAAGCAAGGAGATATATGCTAAGATGTAGGGATGTGAGATTCAGTGAACAAAGCAACCATAACGTTTACCTCGGTTTACTTTAGTTAAGTTAGGGTGAATGATTAAGTGTCAATTAATAGTCCAAGAAAGACAAAAGGTGAGAACTCCTTGTCCAGATCAAATGTAAAGACCAGTTTGGTGTTTAATATCTGTACCTCATTAAGAGAGCTTGCCATTCAATTGTTTCTAGAAACTTTAATTGTTCTGAGATTCCCTTGGCTAAAAACTGCCTCTCCTGGGTAGTGGGAGCATTTTTAGAACATGGAGATAGATTGCCATTCATTTTGTAGCATCCAGGTTCACAAAGAGAGAAATGTTACTGTAGGTCTTATTCTTTTTTTTTTAAGCAGCTTTATCTCTTCAGCGGAGACAGGCAGAGGACAGCTGATGAACAGGAATGACTCTATTTCAGCTAAGATATCTGTGTCTCTCTGTCAGGTGTATCCCACCCTGGCCCTGGAGTGGACAGGGTCCTGACCACACTGCCCTCTGAAGAAGGAGCCCCTGACAGGACTGACTACGATGATGTTGGGGACGAGTCTCAGGGAGAGGATGGGTGCTGTGAGACTGACGGGGCTGTCTGGGAGAAGCTCCTCCTGCAGGTCTAGACACAAAAGAGCTTCACCAAAAGAGTCACACAGACTTAGAGGAGCTCTGAGCACTGAGACTGTATGAGACTATCTGTGACCTGAGTCCACTTCACTCCACTGTTTCCACACTGAAACTGTCTGTGACCTGAGTCCACTTCACTCCACTGTTTCCACACTAACACTGTCTGTGACCTGAGTCCACTTCACTCCACTGTTTCCATATTGTCCGGAGTGTCTGTCTACAGTACCTGCAGCTTGTGTTTTAAAAAACGGAGGCTTGAACATCCCATTTCTGCTCAGTCTTCTTTTTGATAATTTCTTCTTCTTTATGATTTGATGTTTCAGAAAATTAGAAACAAAATATTAATTGATGTATAATTCTGAATGTACCACTTTTGATTGTAACATTTTTATAAATGTCATTAGAATTTTGTTTTGCAATAAAGTTTTTAAGACCATTTTTGTTATCTGCATGTAATTTCTAAAGTATATTATTACACATTCGACCCGCTCTAACAAATGCCTTCACATTTCCACGCACACCCACTTAAACAGATGCTCACGCCGCAGCTAATCTTCCTATCCCCTTTCACTTCCGTCACTACTTTAACCCTCCTCTTTTCCCTCACCTTTGGATCCTCTTTGGAGCTTTGGACATTTTTTATAAGGACTTCCTGCAACAGCGTGGGGATATCACCAACTTGAGCACAGGGTCTTTATTTTTTAGCATAATGATTGTTAACAGATATTAAAAGTATCAATAAAAACAATAAGGAGTCTTTGACCACTTCATCAGCATAATGATAATATCAACCCCAGAGGAGGAGGACATTTTAAATGTTTATCAACTTATTTGTATAAGTTGATCCACACAAAGGACAAAAAACACTGTAGACAAAACCAGGCACAACATGAGACAACCTGACAGGAATTTAAGCCCTGAGTGGTAGCAATGTTAACCACTGAGCCACCTATAAATAAACATGATTTTCAAAACACTAGGATATTGTGTAAAACAATATTCACTTTCACTCTGGACCTTTATGAACGCATTTAACCTTTTGTCTTCTGGAAATATGCTGGCTGTTTTGGGGAATGGAAAGAGAATTTTCCAAATTAAATGAGCAATTATTAACATAATACAATATATAACATATAAACACAATGGTAATGAAATATTTTTAAATGGCATGAGTTCTAAAATACTGATAGTTATTTTGTTTGAACAAAGTGTTTTCAGCCCTGTTACTGTGTTACAGATGTTTTCAGCACCAAAACCAGACAACAGCAGCTCAGTTTCCAGTAAAGAATCCCGCTGTTACATCACACAAATCTATCTGACCTGACAGCTCCAGTTAAGTGTCCATTTTCTTTTTTTTTTCTCCAGTCACTTAACGGAGAAACAACACGCAAGTGCAAGCGTTTCAATTCTTAGTAAAAAATGCTCTAAAATACCTAACATGCTGCACAGTCCTCTTCCAAGGAGGACAGGGATAGAAAATCGGTGACTCTGACCTTTTTTGTCCACTTCCAGAAAGCCTGGAATTCAGATTAGAAAACAAAAAATGTCTCAGTTGGTTAGGATGGTACCAATAATGCCTAGGCAGCTGGTTCAATCCCTATAGGGGCCAGGAGATTTCTTTTTCTTCTGCCGAAACTGTTTGATCTTTCTGTGGTGAAATATGATGCAAAGACCCCATTTACTTCAGAAGAAATGAGGGAGTTGCAGGTTAAAAGTAAAAGTGCGAGGCAGCGGACTGCCGCTATTGCGCTTGAGGAGGCCGCCCGTGGCGAGGGGGAAGTGAGCTCTCTGCGCACTGTAGGAGCCCTTGGAGGTGAAGGATGGGGTGTTGCGCCAGGGATGGCTGGCGCCCCCCAGTGGCAAGGTCAGGTGGCAGTTTGTGGTGCTGTGGTCGCTCTGCGGGGCAGTTCTCCGAGCGGTGCATGGCCAGCTGGGCGTGGGGCACTTCAGCTCTGTGTAAACCCTGTGGTGACTCCAGGGCCACTTCTGTTGGGGTCTCTGTCACCGGGACGTGGAGCAGTTCTGCCGGACATGCGTGGTTTGCGTGGCCCAGAAGGGTCCTCCCGGGCGCTCATGGGTGCCCCTCCAGCAACATAGGTGGGGTCGCCCATGGAGCGGGTTGGTGGTGGACATGCTGGGCCCGTTTCCGCGCACTGAGACGGGCAGCCGCTATGTCCTGATGGCGATGGAATATTTTACGAAGTGGCCCAGGGCCTGCGCTCTCCCAGATCAGAGCGCGTCCACCGTAGCCGACGCCCTGATGGAGGGGATGTTTTTTGAGTTCTGAGTGTTCGCGGGGGTGTGCCAGTGCCTGCGGAGAAACGCGGACCACCCCGCTGCATCCCCAGAGCGATGGATTGGTGGAACGTTTTAACTGAACGCTGTCCACTCAACTGGCCACCCTGGTTTTAAGGCACCAGCGGGACTGGGACTGCCACTTACCCGTCGCCCTCTGTGCGTACCGGACCACTGTGCAGGAGTCTACCGGGTACACCCCGGCCTTCGGTTCGCCTTCAGGAGGAGTGCTGGCATAGCCGGCTGGGCCGGATTACGGTTGGGACCTGCAGCAGAGGCTGCAGGATTGTGTGCTGGATGTAGACAGGCTATTCAATGTCAGCAGGACGCCAGACATCTCAGTGTAGCGCATTCGCCCCGGGACTGCGGCCGAAGAGCGCCAAGCTGGGATACGGGGTGAGGGGCAGGACAGGAGTGGAAGTGGTCAGGACACAGTTTAGGAAGGTCGCTGACCAGTGCAGCTGTTCCACAGTGAAACTGGTGTATAGTCTGGGGAGATCGCCCGTTTTCCATGTAAATAGACGGAGAAGAAATAAAGCGCAGTTTTTAACTCCACAAGCCTGAGTCTCTGTGTTCATCCTCACTGAACCCGAATTCATTACAGTATGAAGGTATTAAAGGAGAGAGTCCACAGCATGCCTCAAGGAGAGCGCAGAACAATGAGTCACGCCTGCAGCTCGCTGAGTCTTTTCTTATATAACCGCTGAGCCCGGACACACAGACTCTTCAGCTACTGTTGGAGATTTACAGTTCAGAAAACGGCTGTCTCAAGCAGAAACTGATCTTCCTGCTTGAGTTAAGGTTATTGGAATCGGCGATTACTGTGGGGTATAGCACTTGTATCTCTCTTCACTGGCTAAACACTATCTACTGTAAAGTATAGAAATAGACAGAAGCTAAAATGCGGCTAAAATACTTCAGTTAGGCCGAGCAGATAGGAAAGTTTAATAAAAATGTTCTTTAAATAAATTTGCCTAGATTTTCTAACTCTCTGTTCGAGCTCTGATATGATCCTCTTGGCTCCTTCCACTGGGAGAGTGACTGCATTACGTAGGGCTTCAGGTTGATTTCACAATGTCACATTAATGAAATACAGGAGAAACCCCAAGGAAAACAATATGTTTTAATAAATCTTCTTCTAGTTAAAGGGATATCCTGCCTCCAAATCCCAGCGATGCCTTTCTTCCTATCTTGTTGAGCAGAAAGTGCTGTTTTGGACAACCACATAGGGCTTGATTTAGTTTACTGCGTGTATTCATTTCCATTCTGCAACAACGTGTTTTTCTAGAAATTCATACAGCTTGTGAAAAATGAAATTCAATTCTTGGCTATCAGTGCATAAGAAATGTTGCCGGCTGGCAAGAAAATG